AGGAGACAGAGTTGGTAACTCAGAAAAAACAAGCATAAATAGTTTAAGCACATTTGGTGGCATTAAATCTAGTGTCAATGAGTCTGCAAGTCTGGTAGCTGCTTTATCAGGCATGAATCTGTCATCTAATGGTGTTATAGATGACGATAATCAATTACCATGCCAGATTGAACAAGATGTTGAAAATCACCGGAATTATTTGTTTGGACTTCAAGATGGTCAGAATCATATTAAACAGAAAGTGTACTTGAAATCTGAATCTGGCCATTTACATCTGCCTTCGGCTAAGAGTAATGGGGGCAGATCAGACCTGAAAAACCCATCCTTGCTTTCTGATAGGCAAGCTGAACTCCAGCAATATGCCCTTGCATCAAAAAATTCTAACTTGAAAGGATCACCTGCTTCCCCTCTCAATGGTGGAGGCATCTTGCCTGCTCAGTATCAGTATGATGCGTTAAGTGGTTACTCTTTAAATCCTGCTTTGGCCTCTGTGATGGCTAGCCAATTTCGAGCTGGTAATCTGCCACCATTGTTTGGAAGTGTTGCTGCTTCGTCAGATATACCCGTCCCTGGAATGGACTCCAGAGTGCTTGGAGGAGGTTTTGGATCTGGACGAAACATTTTGAATGCTTCTTCTGAGTCACATACTTTTGGTCGAGTTGGAAGCCAAATAACTAGGAATGGTGTGCAGGCGCCTTTTATTGATCCTATGTATCTTCAGTATCTGATGTCATCTGATTACTCTGTGGCACAGGTTGCACCTCTTAATGATCCTTCCATGGATATGGGTAATCCATACATGAACTTGTTTAAGCTTCAAAAAGCTTATCTCGGAACTCTGCTATCACCTCAGAAATCACCCTATGGTGTGCCATTAGGTGCCAAATCTGGTAGTTATAATATTGATGGTTTTTATGGAAGCCCCACTTTTGGAGCTGGCATGTCATATCCTGGAGGTCCCTTAGCTAGTCCTGTTATTCCAAATTCTCCAGTTGGACCGGTTAGTCCTATGATACATGCTGATCGGAGTATGTGCTTTTCTTCTGGGAAATCACTGGTCATGTTATTGAGTTCAGGTATGCTCTTATGCAGTTCTTGAATTTTTATGTTGACATATTGCCATCTTCACATTTCCATGCTTTTTGTGAGCAGCGCGGATCAGTATGGCAGCCGGTTTATTCAGCAAAAACTTGAAACAGCTACTACTGAAGAGAAAAATATGGTTTATGAGGAAATATGGCCTCGAGCACTTGCTTTGATGACCGATATGTTTGGGAATTATGTCGTTCAAAAGGTATTGGCCTTGTACTGTGCTGCTTCTATGCTTAGTTGTGTAAGTCTATTGTTTACTGTATTTACCAAACAAATCTTTATGTGTACAGTTTTTTGAGCATGGACTTCCTGCTCAGAGAAGAGAACTTGCGGGCAAGCTTTTTGGTTATGTTTCAACACTTAGTCTTCAAATGTATGGTTGTCGGGTGATCCAGAAGGTATTAGTAAATGATTTCTCTCCTTCTAGAGTTTATCTTCTTCTTTTGTCATGTTTTAACACTTTGTCTTCAAATGTATGGTTGTTGGTGATCCAGAAGGTATTAGTAAATGGTTTCTCTCCTAGAGTTTATCTTCCTTTTTCATGTTTTAACTTTTAACACTTAGCCTTCAAATGTATGATTTCTGGGTAATCCAGAAGGTATTAGTAAATGTTTTTTATTCTTCAAGAGTTAATCTTCTTCTCTGTTTGCTCATGATCTTGGAGTTGTATGTTAAAGAATTTCTCCTATTGATTCTGTTCGTTTATCAAACTCTTTTTCATAATAATTTCACAGTTTATTGACAAATTATGAGTTTCTTCCTAATTGAGATCAGCATAATTATTTATTAAGTGGCAGAATTATTGATCAAGTGTCTGCTTATGATCTTGGAGTTGTATGTTAAAGAATTTCTCCTGTTGATTCTGTTCGTTTATTGAACTCTTTAATAATAATTTTACAGTTTGTTGACAATTTATGAGTTTCTTCCTAAATGGGATAGCACAATTATTGATTAAGTGAACAAGTTTCATTTCTTTGGTCGAGTTATACTTGTAATCATGTGCTTACATGCTTCAATAATGTTTATAGGAATTTAAACTTTTTTCGTTGCTTTATCTTGCTTTTTTCATAGAGCGCTTGTGTTTTTTAATCTGTTTCTGAATGGTTACACGACAAATACTTCCTTGCACTCTGACAAATATTATAAGCTTTTTTTACATTCAAGGCCATAGAAGTTGCTGATATGGATCAGAAGATTAAAATGGTTCAAGAGCTTGATGGTAGTGTTATGCGTTGTGTACGTGATCAGAATGGCAATCATGTCATCCAGAAGTGTATTGAATGTGTTCCTGAGGAGCACATTCAATTTATAGTTACAACATTTTTTGATCAAGTTGTGACCCTTTCCACCCATCCATATGGGTGCCGAGTGATACAGGTGTGGAACCTTTGTTTTGCTTATCTTTTAATCTTCACAATTGTTCTATGCTAATGGTCAATGTGTATCCTGTATAACTTTTTTCTGATACTCCAGAGGATACTGGAGCACTGCACGGACCCAAAAACACAGAATAAGGTGATGGATGAGATCTTAGGATCTGTTAGCATGTTGGCACAAGACCAGTATGGCAATTATGTTGTCCAGGTTTGTTGTTCTTTCGGCAAACTTATAGTACCTATAAGTATTTTTTTTCCTGTTACAAATTGCTGATAAAAATTGTTGTATTTGTTTATTTTACGGTGTAGATTCGAAATGTGCTTGTACTTATCATTAGGCATCGCTGTAGTATTTCTTTTACTGCTTAATTGATGGAAGAACTTACCTCTTTCATTCACTTAACAGCACGTACTGGAGTATGGAAAGCCTCGTGAGCGGTCGATTATAATAAAGGAGTTAGCTGGAAAGATTGTCCAGATGAGTCAGCAGAAGTTCGCCTCTAATGTTGTTGAGAAGTGCTTAACTTTTGGTGGTCCTGCCGAACGACTGTTGTTGGTGAATGAAATGCTTGGATCTACGGATGAGAACGAGCCTCTACAGGTTTGTGCTTGATATTCTTCTCGAACTTCAAATAGAAAACTCAGATTTGTGTTGTAAAATTGGCATCATACTGATATATGAATGTTATGATACTAGATTGTTACCTAATGCTTGATATATTGTTCCGGATTCGACTTTTTGGTTAATTTTCTCTAGAAAGCTTTCGATAAATTTCATGTCGGTCAGGGGTCCTTTTTCTGACGGCTGTTTGTCCATCCCAGGCAATGATGAAAGATCAGTTTGCAAATTATGTGGTACAGAAAGTACTCGAGACTTGTGATGACCAGCAACGCGAGCTGATCCTTTCTCGAATTAAGGTCCATTTAAATGCATTAAAGAAGTACACTTACGGAAAGCATATCGTCGCACGTGTAGAGAAACTCGTTTCTGCTGGGGGTATTGATTCTTCTTTGTCTTAACATTTGCATCTACTGCTACAAGTTCCCTTTAAGCCCCTCTGTCACTGTCGGATTTTCTGTTTGTTGAACCCTTCTAACATGGGATTTTAATCATTTTTCAGAACGGAGAATGGATGAGCAGTCAACGCGTTGCTCAGTCAGTGCAGGAAAGAACGCATCTGCAATTGTACAGCTAACTGAAAGCTTATAGGAGCTTCCGCGTCTTCCTTTTCGTTCGGTATCTGAAGCTATGGTTCGAGTTCGAGTTCGAGTTTTAGAACGGTAAGAGGTGTGTGGAAATAAATTTGTTGATTGCACTCGGAACTGTACATTGTGTAGCTTAAGGTTTTATACATAGGATGGAGTATGGAACAAAGCTGATGTTGATGACCCCGGTGAGGACTTAAAATGATTCTTACAAGTGTTTGAGGGTGTAAAAAAGAATTTTTAAAAGGCTGAGGTAGTTTAGTTTAATATGAACTATAAAGAGACTGTACAAAGTCGAATGTTGTTGGCATGATGTTTTAGTTGAGGCCACACCTTCAATGTCTGCTTAATGATATAGTATTTTTTATATTATGTTTATAACCTTTGTTGGTTTTGGTTTTTTCTTTTAATCATGACCTCAATCTAACAATCAAACGAAGAAAAGAAAATTTCTAATAAAAAGAAATGCTTAATACCAAAATAAGTGTTCAAATCATATCGTTTTTTCGAATAAGTGTCTAAATTATTTTAACTCATACAGATGTTTAATGTTTTAAACATTATTACTAAGTGTCTAATGTTATAAATGTTATTATTTTAGGTAATTTTGTTGTAGCAGTCGTTAAAAAAATTTGTTAAGTGACACATGAAATTTAAGAATTTAGGAATTTTAAGTTTTGAGATGATATTAAGAGTTGTAACCGGTTAGTAGGTGGTCAGTGACATATGAGTAGCCCTTCTTCGGCGAATGGGTGACTGGAGGAGTAAATGAGATTAGAATAAGAGATTTTAAGAGTTTGAAGTTATAATTAAGATTAAATAGATGGTATGTTATTCGAGTTTGATTTGGTTAATGTTTAGTCAACATTTAAATTAAAAGGACTTAATTCAAGTTATTAAAGAGATAAAACAATCTATTTAATATCTTACTCTAAAAAATTGTAAATAATTTAAAAATATATATATTAAAATTTTAATTTTTTAAATTAAATTTTTAATATTTTTATGTAATTTTTTAAAGAAGATGTTATATAAAATTTTCATGTACTTAATATTTAGATGAGAGTTTGCGTTTAAACTTTAATCGAATTAAATCTAAGAATATTTTGAAATCAAGATTTTTCGAGTTCAAATTGAGTTTGAGTTTAAATTTAAACTTTTCAAATCAATAATATTCAAACTCGACCTAATAATATTTTTGCTTTCATTAACCAAATTTTTCTTGTGAAAGCCGTTAACCAAAATTAAATGAAAGGAATATGTAACTTTAGTGATGATATAATCTATTTTATAAATTAAGTGACTAAAACAGAAACGTAATAATAATTGAAGGACTAAAAAAAGTTGTTTATCCAAGAAAAAAAACGGCACAGAGTAGCAGAAATTATTGTCCAAACAATGCCTTGCATGAAACAAAGGCAATGGAAATGTAAAGTTTAGAATGAAATTGGTAACCTAAAAATCCTCATCGTCTTCATCAACCTTTTGACCAAATCCCCTAGGCCCAGCTCTGGCTCTCACCTTCTTCTTTTTGACATTCTTGTTCTTGGCAGCCTCTTCTTTCTCGTACTTGTCAATCTCTCTCTTCTCCAAGAAATCCTGTACTGCTATGTATATAACCTGCAACCCCCAATTCAAACCCACACTTCAATATCACGATTTCATGTTAAATTCATGAAGAAGAAAAAAAAGCTGCAAATTTTGTAAAGTTACCCCAATAGTGAGAATTGTAAGAGCAACAAAGGCAACAAATAGAAGAGCCTGAATAACAGTGGCAACGCCTTCATCACCTGTAGTGGACACAATCTGCCGGGAATCTGATGGCAGAACCTCTTCAGGAGTGGCTAAAGTTATCCAGAATTTGCTGCCCTTGTTCTTGCGATTATTTGGGTTGTGAAAAGGAATGGGTTTTGGTGATAAGGAGAGAGGAGTGAAGAGTAAAGAGGGATTTTGAGAAAAGTGAGATTTTGATTTGGAAAGGAAAGGTAGAGCAATGGGGATGTTGGGAATGGAAATGGAAGCCATAGCTCATCCAAACTCTGCTCTGCTTTCTTCTTAGCCCCACCGGGTTTTGAGATAAAATGGCTGTATTCTAGTTTAGGCTAAACTACCAATTTAATCACTTAATTATTTATGTTATTTTATTTTGGTCACTAAATTTTTATCAAAATCATATATAACATTATATTTTTTTTCTCACCCATCCTTAAAAATTAATAATAATGTTTACATACCATCGTATTCATAAAGTGATATCACATCATCATTGAAAACAAAAGATATAAAGTCAACAGTTATGTTAACATTTAAATGACGTGTGACTAAAATGAAACCAAAATATAACGTTAGACAAAATTTTAATAAAGTAATTGAATGACTAAAACATAATTGCATGAATAAAATTAGGGAAGGGCATGGGTCGGATTTTTTGTCTACCAGACCCGACCCGAGAATAATGACTCCTCCACCCGAAATCTGACCCGACCCACATAATATATACCTGAACCCGACCTGACTTCTTGAAATAAAATCCGAAAATAATAAAAATATTATTTTTATTCAATAAAAATAGTGATTTAATTGAAAAAAATAAATATAGATGGGTATTATTATAATTATTCCTAAATATATAAGGTAAAATTATATTTTTTAAGGTCGGATCGAGTATTTTTTACCTTAAATTCGAATCCGATTAGACCCGAACCCCACTTTAAAAAAACCGACCCAATCGGATCAAGACTGATCGGAACTCATCGAATTCGAGTCGTATGTCCATTCCTAAATAAAATACACTAGTACCGTATAGTTTATTGGAAGACAATCGGGCTGATGGAAATTTCGGGCTTCGCCGTTGGGCATTTGAGTAATGCAGTTATAGGTTTCACTTGAATGGTAATATGCCCAATTTGAGTCTTTTGGTTTGTCTGTCCATCACTCTTTTCCCTCCCTAGATGTATTATAATTATCAAGATAAGTGTTCGGCATTATTTTTTTAAAATTTAAAAGTACTTTTTAAGTTTAATTCAATTAAGAATATTTAAGATGTGCAAATTAACCTGTAATTAAGAATGTAAGAATCTCGTAATTTTTTTCTTTATATTTTAAAGATGGGTAAACTACAGAGTTGGTCACTTTGTTTCATTTTTATAAACGTATGGTCACTCGATTTAAAAAATTTAATTCGTAGTTATTTTCGTTTCGATTTAATTAAAATGTAGGTACTTTTATTTCGTTTTAATTAAGATATAGACATTAAGACGTTAACTTCTGTTAGTTTGATGACGTGACATGTTATTAAAACGGTTTAATTTTTATTTAAAATCTTGAAATTTAGATAAATTACTAAACATGAGTCATTTTGTAAACAAAAATAGTTCAGTGATAAAATATCGATTTACTCTTTTTTTTCATATATTTTCTTCTCCAAACCTATCTTCCGCCGCTTCCACTGCTTCATCTTCCCCAAACGAAATCGATAAAATATCAAAAAGTTGTTGAATTTGTTGATTGTGAAACGTAATGGAGGAGAGAAAATTGTGTTTCGATGCTCCGTTCGATCTTTGTTCCTTAATTTGTCTCCCGATTTCCTTCTCCACTCTTTTCAAAGTCCCATCCATCGCTAATATTTAGTTATCGATTTCATCCTCCGATTTCGAAATTCTCTCTTCTTTCCACACGCGATGGGCACAATTAGTTCTATTGAATTGACACATTTTAATTAAAATGAAACGAAAATTACTACAAATTAAGGTTTTTGAAACTCGATCATACATTTATAAAAATAAAACAAAAGATAATGAAACAAAAGTGACCAACTCTATAATATATCATTTAATGATTTACAATCTCCAAATAAATCTTTGTATAAAAAAATACTAATGATGTACCAAATACTAATGATGCAACAAACACCAGCACGTGTTTCCTAAAAAGAAGATAACTCCCACGTCTAACTGTTGGTATTTTATTGTAAAAGAAAATTCCAATGGTTTATCATAAAACTATTAAGTTTGGATATGTTAGATTTGGCATTGACATACATAGCTAACATTTCAACGACAATCTCTCTCCTTTTTTACTTTCCTCTACCAAGTAATCCTACAACCTTGTATGACTCATTATGGTGCTATCTCAGAATTCCAGCTTCACAAGCTCTCGGATCCAACGGATTAAAACAAGGTATTGTTGTCCCTAAAATGGATCAATAATCATGTTCTTGTGCTTTACTTTGTGAAGAAAATAGCCTCATAAATAACTTATTAGCCGTTGTTGAAAATTTATCATTGCATAACGACTTTTTACTCCAAATTTTCCGTTATCCAAAACAAGGCCTTCATTGTCCACCTCTCTATTTTTCAACTTTTTTTCTTCTTTTAAATGTCTTCCCATTGCCATGCATGCTTATGATTAGCCATTGAGAAGATAAGATCGATTTCAAGAAATGGAGGAGAGTGGGAACATATTTGAGAAAGGCGTAACTGGGATAAGCAAAACCAAAGTAGGGAAGCCGCCCACCAGGCTACAAACGCATGCCCCTCGATCTCTTAAGCTTGATCAAATGAAAGCTCCCGTTGCCAGGACCGCCCCCGACGAAGCTCGATCTCCGATTCCTCTGCTCACACCGCTCACCGCATCGCCTAGTCCGTTTCCGGAGGCGGATGAGTTATTGTTTCCGACACCAAAGGACGTGAATGCTGCTGCCACACCAACATCATCTGGGCAGAAACAAGCAGTTGGGGCAGGGTTTAATGTGAAGGCTTCCACTTTCTTACCTCTGGTTCGAAACAAATGTGTTCTCGTCAATGATGCAAAATGATGCCATGTTTCTTCTTCTGCGTTGTACAACTGCCACTACCGATTGTGATGTGATTCTTTCCTCCATTGCATATTTTTTCCCCATGAAGGCAAGCTTATGTATTATTTGATTTTCTATTCACTTGTATAACTTTCATTTATGCAATTTTTTAACGTCTTACAATCTTTTCGCTGTAGAAAAACAACTTGTTTCTATGGAATAACAAATTCTTCTATTTATCTGGCTATTGACAATGCGTTTGTAAATGTTTAGGGTTCAATGAAAAAATAAATGTTTAAATCTATACTAAGAGTTGAGGGGCCTAGGGTGAGTACTCATCAAGTCAAAATTTTTGAATAATTCAAGTTAACAAATCCTATTTTATTACTTTTTATTTAATTTTTTAAGTCAAATCAAATTATTCGAATATTTATTTATATTTATTTATAAATATTTATAATATTATAGTATCAACTAATTCTAATTTAAAAAAAGCTTTCTAAAACCATAAACAATATACAAATATATTTTTTCATATCATGCAGCGTTAGAGACTCTACTCGAGTTTATGAAATCACTAGTCGAGTTTTTTAACGTCAAACCGAATCAAAAGTTAAATTTTTCTATAGTCGAGTTTTGCTCTCCCATAGTAGGGATAATAAAGGAAGGATATGTGATTCCAGGATGTTAACCAAAAAGCCTAAAGCATAACAAGTATAAATGCCATTGCAATAGTTTATAAAACTGCATGAAGCAGTGTCCAAGTCATCCATTCTAAGCCCGAAATAGCTCTTCCTTTATGTACAACACAACCAGAACCCAAGTCTATAAGGAAAGCCGAAAAATTACGAAACACTGAATAACACCCCCATTGACTTGCTCTGCTGCAATAAGAAGGCAACTACATTTATCTAACATAATCAAAAGTCAAATTCGCTTGTTGCCTGCAAAAAAAGGATAAATAGCATCCGGCACAAGAACTAGGGTTCAATGAACAATGCCATCAAAATTATAAAAAGTAATGGTCCTAAACAGTAAAAAAGAATGTCGAATATCATTCGGTGACATGCATACCTTATTGAAGAGTTAATGTCCTTATTGTTTATATGCATGATACCATCCTTCAGCGTGCATTTCCATCGGCTCTTGGTACGAGTCACCTAGACACAAAACATATATCATTTTCTGTATATGAGATAATCATAACTTGTATAAATACAAATTATGAACAGGTCATGGGAAGTGATGATTCATAATGTAAAAATAGTAAAATCACCTTGTCAAATTGGGACAAAACTAAATGTTGTGTGTTCAGCTCCTCTCCCTGGTCCACATCATCCAAATCATCTTCATTCAATGGCTTATCGTTGTCGTCGTCCCCTATGTCATTTTGGGGAATGGGAGCAGGAGTTGCAGCTTGAAGGTCTGGCCAGGAAACAAGAAAAGCTGGTCAACCAAAAAAACCAAGGTGCTTAGATAAGTCATAAGATGCAATCCTAAGCTCTTCCACCGATTAAAGTTGCCATTTGGAGCCGGCGTGTTCACTACATTTTAATCTTCATTAGCAACTCCTTGATAATTGTATATCTTCAAGTCAAGCAAAGAAAAAAGGCAACAGCACAAAGTCCATCAACTCTCCAATGATAGACACGGGAAACATAGAAAAAGGCCCATTCCATAACATATACACAAAGTAAAACTACGTTGCAGAATTACACAAAACAAGATTAGGAATTGGTCCATCCAGTTGAGGAATCTTTGTTGATGACGTAGCCAAGTCTGCTAAGATCTTGTTTTTTTTTTTGCAATGGTTGCCGAGTCACATGACTCGCATCTATCCCGGATATTACAACCCTTACTAATTCCCTGAGTTTAGAAACATATGATTTAAAAGGGTGTATAACACATTACAAATTCCAATCAAATATTACAACATTAACTCTGTAGAAACGTGTCCTTTAGGTTTAGTTATGAAAGAAAACTTTCTTTTTCTTCTTCTTCTTCTTCAAAAAAAAAAAAAACTTCCTCACAAATATTCATCAAATTATAGAACAGAGCTTGAACCAATTTTCTTTTGCATTTTAGTAAGGTAGAAGGTAAGCATAAAAATATAATGTGGGGACAAAAGAAAAACAGCTTGTCTGAGGCATATTGAAGTCTCTAACCATAACAGATGAAATGACCAACGCTAACAGGTATAGGGAATTCTTATAAAAGACCTCTTATCACACTGATCTTCAAGTACTGTCGTGTATG